GTGTATGAGTGATAACAGCCCCCCTTTGTGGCTCTGTTCTGTTGGAACAGGACCTCACAGGTGGTGTTTGGCACAGCCCTACTTTCCCCATCTCAACGACCCCTCCTTCTCTCAAATGACAAATGGGAAGAACGGCTGCACCACGAAGAAAATAGCAGGCTGGAGATTGGGTACATGCTTGCTGAGTGCTGCAGTCTGTATGCTTACTGCCTGGCTCTGTAGCTCCAACACCATGGGTGGTATCCATTCTTGCTAAAGATGGATGTCAAGACAGATAGCTCTGCCTAAGCTAGCTGGCATCTATTTGCCAAAATATGATCAATGTATTCAAAGAGGTCAAGGGTGTGATTTGCTTCATCCCAACAGACAGAACACAACTAATAAAGATATCAACAAGGAAATTGGCCCCGGCTTTAATTAAAATATGAGATGTTCATAAGCAATCACTACTGGTTGAATTCTGCTTCAATGCACTCAACCATTCACCCTGGAGGGCAGAGAAGTGACTATTTCCAGACTGTGTGGTCCTGGGCAGAATGCCTTCCCACCCTGTACCCCAGTTGCTTGATCTCTCACATACTATGTCTTCCTCTGGGCCACTGTGGATTGAACAAAGCTCTACAGAGTTCATGTTTATTGTTAACATATGGCTGCTCCATTCGTCTGCATTGTGAAACACTCAGTGCTGCTCAATGTGACAACCACTCTCCCAAAATAAATGCTCTTGTTTTTAAACACAGCTATATTTTTACCCACATATTTCTGAGTCATTTAGGGTCAAAGTATTGATTCCATTTGTCACCCAGCTTTATGTTGGCCAGAAAATGTGTTTGTAAATAAATAATCAGTGAGAAGGAATTCATGGGATGTGACGTATTTACTCTGCTTTCCTGGAGGGCCAAAACATCTTCTGAGTTGTAATAATACTATTCCTTCTCTCTCTTTTTCTTTCTTTCATCTGGCTTCCTATCTTTATTGCTTCTGAGTTAGTATCTTAGCACTTCACAGTGGGTCTGTTAATCTGTTAATCTCTCCCTTTCTTTCTCTGCACTTCCCTCCAGAAGAATATGAAGAAGAAGACAACCAAAGTACTTAAATTTGGGATGAGCAGCAGGAGATTTGGCAGGCAGATTGCTGTGGGTGCCCTGGGCAGGGAGCACAACCCTGGGGCTGCCTGGAGGATGCATATTGGAGAGAACAAGGCAAGCAGAGAAGCCTGTGAGATTATCTGGAAATGGGGAGAAGCTCCCCAGGATCAGGGCTGGGACATAGATGCAGGTGTTCTCCAACTTCTGTCTCTCAAGCTGGGATTGACATTCATTTGTCCTGCTGGGCAGCTTTACTACATGAGTGAATTCATTACAAACTCCTTGAACCTTGTGATTACTATTGACTCTACAAACACCAAAGAATCATTGTTATAGAATTATTAAGATTGGAAAAGACCTCTAAAATGAGCAAGTCTAACCCCAGTCCCATGCCCACTGACCACATCCCTCAGTGACACATCTCCACAGTTCTGGAACACCTTCAGGGACAGTGATTCCATCACCTCCCTGGGCAGCATGTGCCACCACTCCTGCACAGAAATGTATCAGAATACCCATCCTGAACCTCCCCTGGTGCAACCTGAGGCCATCTTCTCCTACCCGGGAGCAGAGGTGAACCCCTACCTCCCTACAGCATCTTTTCAAGGAGTTGTAGAGAGCGGTGAGATTTCCCCTGAGACTCCTCCAGAATGAACAATCCCACTGATTTAACGTGTCTCGAGCTGCTGCTACTCAGCTGCCCTCTGAATGTGCCTTTATTCAGCTCACATAGTGAAGCCTAAGCACTGCTCTGACCACAGTACAACCTGAATGCCTGATGGGTGGGATGAATCCGGAGCTGGGAGAAGCAAAGGTGAGGAAGTCACAGAAGGACAGGAACCTAGAACTAGATGCTCTTCCTGAACTAGCAAATGATTTTAAGCACACAGGAGAGGGAAGTAGAGTTCAGCCAACATTATAGGCTTTATTTCTCCTCTTGTCTACACTCTTCCTCATCATTCACCTCCAGAGAGCAGACCTCTCTGCTGCCCTCTGATAAAGGATACTGGACTGTGCTTCACACAATCTTCTTTTTAAATGAGCTCAGTTCCTGGACCCCATTACATCATTGTGGATATACTGGATAAAGCACAACTGGGTGTGTGTGATTCCCAGTGGTGGGAAGGACAGCTGGTTCACCTGAGCCTTCCTATTGGTGGACTGAGATACCAAAGGCATTACTCTGCCAGCAGGCACTGCTGTGGGGCAACAGATATGCCACTAACTGTGTCTTGGAATGAGGCAAAGAGGCAACATTCCATCACGATGGGTATCAGAAAGCTGATGCTTTTCCTGATACAGATACTGCTAAACAAAACAGATCCATATATTGAGTCTGGTGAAGCGTGAAGCATGTGGGAGGTGAGCAGGCCAGGCCCATCAGCAGGAGGATAAATACAGCCTTCCCATTCCCACCCGTCCTTGTAAAGCAAAGTATAAAAGGTTAATGGCAAACAGACAATCAAGCTACCCTCAGTTTTCTGGTTTCAAGGTATCTCTTGTTCCAGATGGCTCACGCAATTGCCAGGAAATGTCATTATTAAACAAGATAAAAGTGAGACAACTGTTGCAAGGCGCAGCACTGTGCTTGGTCTCAGATTTCATTTGAAATGCTCAGGGAAAGGTAAACCTTTTGCTAGCAGGAGGGGAGCCAACGTTCCCAGGATTAGCAAAAGGAGATGAAGAGAGCTGGAAAGGCATGGGAGGTTCAAGGCTTCTTAGACCAAAGGTTGGGTCCTGGTTGCTGCTGGAGCGCTCCCTTCAGGTGTGCAATTAGTGGAGCTATGTGTTCACTGGAGGGTGTTCTACCAGGAAAAAAAGACACAGAACTAGAGAGCCCTGGAGCTCTCTATCTAATTCATGCATTGAACCCATGGGGAGCAAGAAAAATCTTGTTCCCATGAACTAAACCAGATGCCTTCACAATGCTGAGCTATTGTTTCCATGTGACAGAGAACAGTACTTTCTGAGTCGGAAAGGCTCATTCCCTCCCAATGTGTATGATGTCTCCACATGCACTGCCCTGGCCCTTTCATGATAGAGGGTCTGTTTTTCCAGGCTAGGACCTCATGGCCCTACCCCCTTTGACCTTTTGTTCTCTGAAAAGATGACTGTTTGCTTGTTTGGGTTTGCTTGCATGATCACATGGTGTCTTCTAGTTGGAGTCCTTCAATGTATTGTAGCTGTAAAAACATTTATGGCCCTTGAAGTCCAGGCCTGGAAGGAAATCCCTTCCCCCAGAAGATGCATTCCATTCAAATAGTGATCTCAACATTCTGATAGCCTTATTTAAGTCCTGTTGTAAAGAAGAGACCTTCCCAACATTCACCATCTCCCACCAGTGTTAAAAAGGAGTGGGATCACTCAAATCTTCCCAGCTTGGCTATCAGAAGTACAACTGCAAAGTGTACAGTGCCAAATCTAAGTGCCAAATCCAGAGAGGTGGTGGATACCCCATCCCTGAAGAAACCCAAGGTCAGGCTGGCCAGGGCTCTGAGCACCTGATGGAGCTGTGGGTGTCCCTGCTCATCACAGGGGAGCTGGACCAGATGGCCTTTCCAGCTCCCTTCCAACTCAAACGATTCTGTGATTCTAAACCAAATGCTCATTGAACATAATATTCAGTGGGAAGAATCTCATCTTAGGTGTCCAGGTAAGCTAGTCTTGTCAGACCCCATCACAGATGATAGAAGTCTTCCCAGAAGGTGATTCCCCCAGTGATGTTTGTCACCAAACATCCATCAGCTCAGGAGTGCCTTGAGCTTCAGACTGATAAGAGGTCTCTTATCAGGCCCCAAAGACCCTGTCCTGATCTTCAACCTCCCCACAGCACCTGCTGGTAATGAGGCCGTGGAGAGTCTTAACCAAGGGAGTACTGGATGTGATTTGACACAAACACATTCAACTTCATGGGATGGGGAGGTGCCTCTCTTTTCTGCCACTGACTGGATGAACCTGTTCAGACTGCACTCCAACTTTTGGCTTGGGAAACGGTAAATAATACAGCTGTTAGAGACAGCCAGTAGATGTCACAGCTATGTACTTATTCATTGTTTCCATTTTCAGGAGATGGTTGAGATTTCTGCACAGAAAATATCTATATAAGAAATATTTTATATATAAGACTAATATATATGAATAAGAAAAAGAAAGCTCTCCATGCCCTCTTTATACCCAAGGCAAAAGCAGGACTCCTCATTTAGTCTAACATTCAAAGAACAGCAACAGGGAGAAAGGGAGAAAAGAAGTCTTACATGGACAGCACTGCAGGGTTTTTAAGAACACCATTTCTGCCTCCTACAGTCAGGCATTCAGGAAGATGCATGCTCTGCCCTTCTCATTCACAGCAGCAGCACCATGTTTTCTACAGATGTTTGTGCTGAACCATAGAAGCACTTTGACAAAGACTATTTGCTTGTCTAACACAGTTGGGCAAATGTCCCCATGACAGATTAATGGACTCAGTGACGGATAGGAGAAGAAAACACAGTCAAAGTACAAAGGGGAAAAAAAAGGTTGGCTGTCCTGCTCAAATCGGCCCAGAGGATTGTTTATTCCAAGCTTAAATCTGCTCCAAACTGCTTTCTCTCAAAACCAAGCACTGATACAATCTTTGCAACTGACTGTATCAAACCACCACGAAGCCCAAATAACCTGGAGACCAATCCAAGCCCACTTCCCGTTGAGATGCAGACCAAGTCCTTTCAGCTTTTGCCAGACTGTAATACTCCATGATTTCCCATAGCTACAGTAATAATCCAGCATCTATGCAAGGTCCCCAAGGACTGCTACTCTCAAAGCTACAGCACCTTTGTAAAGCACAACGGTGTGTTTGGAAGTGGACCTTGCCCTGCCAATCTATTCATGCACTTAGCATGTCATAGATGCTACCTAATTCAATTAGGGGAGCTGATTTAAATTCAATAGACTCCCTAATTTTTTTAAGCACAGCACCATACCACCTCTCTCCCTTGCCAACCACCAGAGAAGGGTTTTTACAACTTAAGCACAAAGAAATGGAAGAAACTCTGCTCAGTGCCTAACAGAATTGAACCGCCTCCATAAGATGAGGAACTGAACCATGAGTCACCGCAGAGAGAACTTCATGCTGCCTGCAAGGAATGACTTCCCTGATGATTATTTTTTTTCCTATCATTGCTGTATTATGTAGCTTTTCTCCTCCCCAAAACCAGGTCAGTCTTTGACTCAAACATATGAATCACCACCAAGGTTCCTTTTTTTTTTTGTGAGAAAGTTGCTCCCGTAAAATGAGCCAGCAAGCCTTGATATGCAAATCCCAAATCTCATCTATACCTTTATCCATAGTCAGCCCATTTGCCTGTGCAGGGTTCAAGAGCTTGAACTGATCATAAAAAGTTATTCTGGCCACTAAATCTGGTCTTCTTTGTCAAGGGTGGAGAAACAGAGATCATCCCTATTTCAGAATCATTTCTGCATCTGATCAAGCTGCCGCTCTTTGTGATATTTGGCAACTTTCTCCTAAGTTAATTGCACACACTGCAGATAGAGTGATATTAATAACAGCGAAGTGCCATCAAAGCATTGTGGTAGTTTCACTACATGGCTTCAACTTTTGCAGTGCACTCACTCACCCAGCAGACAACACAATATGATGTTTTTCTTCCTGCTTATTTGAAGACTGGACATCCTCCAGCCTCAGTGCCCTCTCTGACTAATCAGAGCTGCTGATATCCAAAGTGACATGGTGTTTTATTTATCTCTTGGGTTTTTTTCCTGAATGCCAAAGTCAGAGTGAGGTGAATACATTGCCACGTGCCACAAAGAAGCGCTCCCTGATGATGTGGTCAATAATTACTCTAAGCAGTTCTGGGTGCCTACACTGGTGATATCAAACTTCAGTCAGTTGTCATGAAGGTGCTGAAGATCCACTTCTTCATTGAAGTTCTGGGTTCAAATATTACAATCCCAAGTTTTACATTCTCCAGCAGAAATACATAAAACAAAGGTTACTGTACTCTTCTGATCTCACCACAACCTGGGAAATGGAAGCCCTCCAAAATGTTTTTGCCTGCTCTTCCCGTTCACAAACCAGGTGGATGCACTCACGGGGTGCAGTTGGGGTGGGACCCTACGTCACATAATCCTCAAGTCACAGTATGAAGGATCCCAGTGGAAAAACACAGCCATCAGGATTGGTGCAAAGCAGATTCCCCATTGTTCTCAACCGTAACTCCATGGTGCCACAGCCATAAATGGCAGCCATTAATTTGTCAGCAGTGGCAAAGTGGGCAGAAGGGGGACACAGAGCACCACGTTCACACAAGCAGGCTGTGACACGGATCAGGGACCGGCCCTTCGCTTCACTCTGTGGTGATGCACCATGTCTTCCCACCAGCACCCAACCATGGCCAGAGGGCTGGCATTTTGCAAGGCAGAAGGAATGAAAGCCTGAAGGAAAAAAAAACAAGCAGGTTCATGGAGAATCCCTCAAACTAACTTCTTATATGACAGGCTCCAAATTTAAGGTTTCAGATATATTTTATCAAGAGCTGCATAATGGCTTCTAATTTATGTTTTATTATTATGATTGCTAATAAACAAAATTTGTACCAAATATTCTCCCATTTAATGGAAATTCCAGGTTTTCCAACAAAATAAATTTAAAGCAAGAACTGCAATGGTTGTTCTGCTGGACAAACACTTGATGTGTCTTTTGCTCATGCAAGAAAACACATTCTTCTCCAGACACATTTAGAAAAAGAAGAGACTTGGCATACTTCTAAAATTCACAAGCACATTTTAAGAACGCCCAAAAGATTTCATGAGGAAGAAAAAACAACTAAATTATATGAGAAAAATTAATTCCTTTCAAGCTGCTTCAGGAAATAAGCTTATCTTTCTCAGAGCAGATTTTGCAAGTTAGCAGTTGAGCATCAAGTATTTCTGTCATCACTGCAGTGGTTTTAGGAAAAATGTCTGTGTCAAATTATGACATTAATTTTACTTCGCAACCATTGTTCATAATTGCAGCCTTCCTTCTGGAGCAGAAGCCTTTTGTAGCCAAGAAGAGTGATAAAAGCCCATATTTGCTGCTGGAAATACGTGACATTGAAATATTTGATACATTCAGTAGCTTTGCTGAAGCCAAGCATCACAGTGTGATAGACAATGGATAGATCTCAAAATTCTTCAGAAAGGGAGAAAGAAATTAAAAAAAAAAAATAAAAATGAGAGAGGTGAAGCTGTGCTTACTCATGCCCAAACCCTACAGGCACTGGGGAACACAACCTGAAAGAGTGTCCATCACTGTCCATCCATCACTGATACACAGGGTGCATTTGTTAGATCTCATGAGACTTCAGAAGTGTCACAAAAATAATTAAAAGGTGATCATGGAAAAATCAGATATCGGTATAGACACAGTGCCTGTGTGCTTATCCTCCATGGTTTTCTTTACAGAAGGTTTTTAAGAACAGTTCAACTTCTGTGAGAAACTGTTTTGGTGGACCAGATCCTATCTGGGACCACAGATGGATGAACAATTTTTCCCAGCCTCATTTTGGTGAATACTTCTCCACAGAAGCACCACATATTGCTATAGCATGAACAGACTGTAGTACAGAAGTTAATGATATATGTGACCTTTTATCCTTATTCTGTGATTTTTGATGTTGAACACTGGGGAAGTTAATCTCAGCCAGTCCTACAGGTTCTGTAAGTCTTTCCACAGAGTTGGGGCTGTTACAAGATAGAACACCAATAGCTCAAACCATGGGATAAAGTTACATTTTCTTTTGTTCTGAGTGATTTCTGCCCCATGGAGGGTTTGCACAGAAAAGGGAATGAGAGACATAAGCCAAAAAGAAATACTTTACATAGAAAATGAATGTAGAAACATGGAGTGAGCCAGATCCATAGCACATTTACAAATATAACATTATTGACAAAGTCAGGGTGAGGCAGGTTTGCACCATCTGCCCTGCAAACTCCATCAGAAAGTCTTGGGGGTTTCCAGAAGTAACTGAACCTTGCTTTGACAACAAGGCTACACAGCATCTCCTAAATTGCATCTAACAATCAGCACAATTTTCACATGCTCCTCAGTAAGAGCTTGTTCTTGATTGTAGTGAGGAGAATTGAAGTATTGTGATGCTAGTAGAAGACAGATGGGAATGAATAGGGGCAATTCTACTAACAGGAGTCATACTAATGGCAGGGAAGCATCAGTTGTTGAGTTTAATGCATCTTCCCCACTTAATGAAATTGGAGGTAATAGAGAGCAAGAGCAAATTCAAGTAATATCATTTTGAGAGATAATGGGAACAATAATGTTGTTATCAATAAAGTCTAAAATGGCACAGTGTTGTTAAGATGATCCAAAATGCAAGTTGCAATTGTTCATATCGTAATTCACTGTGGCAGTTAATTGGAATGCCAGCAATTACAGGCTCTCATTGCTCATCAGTTATTACAGCTGGCAGAGCTTGTGCAAGTTTCTGGTGGACAGGATGCATCCCAAACCACTCCACCATGAACAGAAATGTAACTAAGAGTTTATGTGGCTTTGTTTTTCTTCTCTAACATAGAAGATAAGAACAAATGATAAGAATAAGATAAAGACCCAGAATGGATGTGAAGTCAGGACATAAACTTACCCTAGCTGTGAACCACCTCTCTAACAGATGTAAATAAGAATGAAGTTATTTAAATCTTAGTTTGGTACATCACTGAGAGTACTACTAACAACCTACTGAGGGAGATTGGTGAAATGCCTGAGGACAGTTTCTAGATAAAGACACATGGACTTCTATGACCAAATACAGTCTTTTCAATGTTCACAAAGACTCTTACTGGCAGTAAGCATCCTGCAGATATTTGCAAATCACAGAGAACCAACCAACATATAAGACATCTCAGGTAGCCCATCAGGAGCATATATTCACAACTCTACTTTTGCACCATTCCAGCAGTTCTGCTCTTGAACAGTTTTTAACAAAAAAAGAAGCCAAGAACTATCAAAACAAACATAAGCAGTGATCATGGATCAAATAGACAAATTCATGTAACTTCATAATGTGTGCCCAAACCTTAAGAAGGAGGTATTTAAAAGTGATTCTAGAACATAGCCCAGAGGAAGTCAGTAGCCAATGCAGTCTTCACAAAGCTTTCCTGGTGCTGGAGGATGATGGTCAAGTTTACCCACCACAAAGAGAGTTCTCTTCAAAGCATGAATGCATCTTGAGGAGCATCCCCATAAGCTCAGAGTTAATTCACTACCTATTACATACCAGTGCAAGCCCATTGACCTCCAAAGAGCCTCTGCTGCACAACAGAGGACACCCATAGGAGTCCCACTTGCACTCCTAAATTAGAGCCAGAGAGTCCAGAAATAAGTTGATGAACCATGCCCCCATTCAGGTGCATCAGCCTCCAGCAAAAAGAAGTAAGCCACTGCTACTGGATCTCTTTAAAGGGTCCTGAGTGGTGAGGGGCCAGCTGGAGATCATTAGTGCCTGGTGCTGGCTATTTGCTCCTCCGAAGATCAATTAGCTTTCATCAAGGACAGCTGATCAGGCTGTTCAAGGAAAAAACACTGCTCTACATTCTCCAGCCATAACAAATTGCTTGGTAAGAAGAGGCACTAGGGGAAGAAGACTCCGGGGATAGCTAACTTACGGGTGCTTTTAGAGGAGTCTTTCCAGTTTAAATTTGGTGGTAAAGGATGGGGTCTCACAGCAGTCAAATCTAGCAACTCACTGAAGCTAAATTCAAGGTCCTTCTTCCATTTTCTCCCATCTGATCTTTATACTGACTCTAACATCTTGTTATTACTGCATGGATGTAGTGCTGGGGACATTACAACCCTGCCACATCTGTTGGGCAGCAGAAGCAATGCCAGCCTGTAGGGATTCTCCCACGAGATGTAGGTACAGTGGCACAGGGCAGAAGGAGAGAAGCGAACTGGACTTGCTCCAAATGCACATTTCTTGGCAGGTTTAAAAAACAGCTGAGGGATCTGCAAAGTGCAATCTGATCTGGAAGCACGCACAGAGACAAAATTAACAGGGTATCCCATGATGTCATTTTGAGCAACCGCTTTCCTGGCTGAGACAGAGGCAGACAATTCCATGTCTGCACATGAATCCTCACTGAGGCATCTGCTGTTATTCTAACTCTCTTATCCTTCCCTCTGTTACAGCAGCTCTGCCCAGGTCCTATAAACATCCAGGCGGCAATCAATGAGGTGTGAATATTTAGCTTATAAAGCAGCTCAAGCATGAAGGATATGCATTAGAAGAGGTTGGGAAAGCAGCAGTGGAAAATTATTTCCAGCCTTACTGTCACTGCACTGCTGCTGTTTTGGATGCTTCTAAACTGTATCGATGCACCCAATTAAAGAAGTCATCTGCGGGTGCTGAACTGAAGATCCACTAGAGGCACTGCATTGGGCATGAACCCCTGTGCTTGGAAACAAGAAATGAAGTATACCTGCAGACATTCCTCAGAGCACTTGGAAGTGCTTCACATATCCCCAGCAGTCTGGAAACTTACAATTTAATTGCTCTGCCCAGCCAGGATCTGGAGGTCGAGATGCCCATGGAGGCATCTGCAATAGCAAGCGAGATGTGCCAGGCAGCCCCCAGTCCTGTGTGCCTTCCATCGTGGTGCTCAGCCAGGACAACACGTTCCACTCCCCAGCTGTAACATTGCATTATTTTCACTTTCAGAGCATTGCGTCCACACAGTGACCATTCACCAAGAGCTCTTCTTGGCTGATGTGAACCTCCAAAATGTGTTTGCATCATTGCCTGTTTGACCTGAACAAAAAAAAACAGACCAAACAACACTGTGACAATTAACCAATATAGATATTTGTGGTCTTTATGGCAAGTGATTTGGTATGTCCCACATCTGTTCTGCTCTTTCCCTACCCAAAATGGTGTCTTGCTCCTCGCTTTATGGGAGGAGGTGTTCTTGGTAGACACGATGTCCTTTTCCATACAAATGCAATTACTGGGACATGTGTAGCATATATCACAAGTTGGCAAGAGTCAAAGCTGTACTGAATAGCATGCTTACTATTAAACAGCAAGGACAGACAAGTTCCAGTTCTTGAGCTCATGCCTTGGTTTGATTTATTTTACAAGTATTTGCTAGAAGTCATTGCTAACAAAAGATTTTACACTTCATTATGTGAATAGTAGTAGTGAATTCCTTAGAGTTTCTTAAAGGGTCTAAAGCAAAAGATGCCAACAAATGTCAAAGAAATACTTTGCTCATGGTGGTTTATTGCTGTGTTATTTATTTATTTATTTATTTATTTATTTATTTATTTATTTATTTATTCTTTCAGGCTGTTTGAAATTAGAGAGGGAAAAAAAAAAGAAAAGAAAAGAAAAAACACAATTTGAAATATTACCACGTTTTGTGAAGACGTAAGAGAGATTCTATGTCATGTTTCACCACTGGGGACATCACCTGTGGGAGACACCTCCACCCCTCTCTCTCAGTAGCAGATCAGCTCTGCTAACAAGGTTAAAAACAAGATCAGGCTGGATGGGGCCCTGAGCACCCTGACTGAGCCATAGTTGTCTCTGTTCATCGCAGAGGAGTTGGACCAGATGGATTTCAAAGGTCCTCTTCCAATTCAAACAATTCTATGAAAAATGATAGTAGGAATGATAAACAGTGTTGGCAGCCACTAATGGAATCTGCGTTGAGAAAGGAGGGGATTCATGCCAAGTGTTTTTCGATACCAAAATCTAGCATCTCCTCTACATCCATCGTCTAGTGATCCTCCACAAATGAGAAAGTTCCTCCAGAAAGCAATTCATGCCATCTTTGTTGCACACCAGTCTTAGGGCAGAACGAAACTCCCTGTAGAGCCCTGATCTCTCTGTATTGACTTCAGAGGGAGGCTAAAGAGCCGCTGTTCATTAGATGGCCCGCTTTTCGGCAGCCGCAATTAGTGGAGAAAAATCCCACCCATGGAGACCAATTGGCCAATTCCTTCTCCAGAGTCAGTCACCACTTCTGCTGAGCCCTCTTCCCCTGCCACGCTGCAGTCACGAACATAACCCAGCAGCTCAGCTGGAGGCAGCTCCTTGCTGGAAGGCTACAGAATAGCAAGCGATGGGGGGTTGGCATGTGGATGCGAAGCCTGCAGTGCCATGAGATTACCCAAGAGGCAAAGCAGGGTCACTTCCTGGATGGTCTGAAACATCCAGAATCTGAATCTAGCATTTTCCATTGGTCTCTTGGCTGAGCTTGCAGACTATGAAGGAAGGAGGGAAATGGGAATAACCTTATTTGCGCCATGCAGCCCAGCTCTAACCCCACAGGAGCAACTAGAAGAGATTCCCAAGGAGGAGAATATCCTTTGAATAGGGAATCCTGCTCAGAAATACTGAGAGACAAGGACAGAGGAGGAGGAATTAAATGAAAGTATGACCTTGTCTGCATCTAGAACTAAACATGTGCTGTTCTTGGCCATAGCTGCTCTTGAGCCATCTGTGCCCTGACAAGGCATCTCTTTAACCTCAGGGACGGTGTATCTCCAGGGAGTGGGTTTATGATATTCAGGCTGTACGTGCATCTGCTTTTCATCCCATCAAGGAGCCTTTATACCCATCTGGCTGGAGAAGGCGGGGAGGTTAGTCTGTGTTGAAGTTACAAGCCTCGTTTGAAATACTGCTGGTTTCAACTTACTTAGGACTGTAGACAATTACACAGGCTCTTTGCAAACCACTCCTGCAACCTCTCACTCGTGGCAGTAGAGGTCCGGCTCTGTTGGCAGCCTGAACACATTCTGTTCCCCTATCTTCACAGGTGAACACTTCCAAAGTAAAGTCAGACCCAGGTGGAAGCATGCCTCCTCGAGCCAAAGAATGAGCCAGTCAGTTTGGGGCAGACAAAGTCCTTCTATAGGAACAGGCTTCATTTTTCTGGCAAAAATTCCTGCAGCACTTCACCACCCCTCACCTTTGGAAAGGCAGTAAACATGACTGTGCAAATGACAGAGGGCAGAGGAGAAATGAGGCCCAGATCTTTGGCATCTTGGAGGTGTCTGTGAGCTGTGGGAGGACTCAGAACTGTCTGCTGGTTGAGGAACAGATAGTTGGTTTTACTGAAATACAGTTTATATTCGCAGGCAGCAACGTATGCATGTCCATACACACACGTGTTTTCATACATGAACAAAATCCTTTGGCATGTTACACTTTTCATCCCATTGAGACAAGATAAACCTGGAGGATATGTCCAGAGAAAACACTTGCAGAAATATCTGGTCTTTAAATGTGGACATCAGTGGAAGTTATCCATGCTGACAAAAGCATTGTGCACAAAGACCTCAATTTTCCATTGCAAATGTCTGATTCTGACTGTGAGCCTGTGATTGAGTAAACGAGGAGCACCAGCTCCTTCACTGAGCACAGTGTCAAAGATGGAGAAAACCTGAACAGCGCAGGATCTAGGAGAAGATGAGTTCATGAAGGGAGATGGAGATGTGGGAATGTTCCATTAGTGCAAGTGCTGTTTGGTTCTTCTGCAGACACAAGCCACGTGTCTTTTTTTGCTTATCAAGCCATGAGTGCAGTTGTGCAAAATGGAATAGCTCCAAGCAGGCAGCCTGTAGGTAGGCAGTGCTCATGTTGTTGTTTGTCACATCAATCCCACCTGCTATTGGAGGTCTTATTGTCTTCTCATTGCCAAATTCAAGCGTAATATCAGAGTTTGACGGACACACAACTATGGGGAGCTGGTGGAAGCCTGACCAGGATCAATTCTGCAATCCCTTGCAACAAAAATGCTATAGCTTTTCTTTAGCTTCAAGTCTAGACCTTTTCTATTTTTTGCTGTGCTGTTTTAAGGGAAAAAAAAAAAAGAAAACAACACAGTGTAATAGACAAGGGATGGCTATGTTGTCCCACTTGTGTTTATGACATCCTAGCCAGCAACAAAAAGCACAAAAGTGCCTGATCTCAAAATAACCCTCTGTTTGCCCCTACTTTATTTTTTATGGCCACTGAACACTGAGGAGACAACTTCATTGATCTGAACACAGTGGTGGCCAAATAGAGACAGCAATTAACCAAGCAAAGCCTTGTGGAAAATGAGCAAACCAATCAAGCTTAGGATGACAGAACTGAGACAAAAGGCAACGTGATGCTCTGCTGAAGATCACAGCATGCTGATAACAAAAGACCTCTCTTAGGTCACAAATTTGTCCTGACATGATGGGTACTCATGGAGGAGAAACAGAATCATAGCTTATTCAAATCTGCAACAGGAATAGGACTTACACTAAGAAGGCAGAAGCAAGCTCCAGGAGTGAGAGGAAGTGGAAGATGAATTTACACATCATTTAATGAAATTTAGACACCATTTAGTAGAAGGCGAACTTAGATTTTGATGCTTTGAT